TCGTTAATTAAACAATATATTTTCCCTTAGTACGTGGAAATACAGATTTATTTGCCGATTACGTCAAAATAAACAAACCACTTCCCAACGTTTACCCAAGGCATTAAATCTAGACATCCATCTGCGGAGATCTTATCTCGGCGCAATAGAACTTTCAGTAACGACCAAGGCCTCCTCTGTCGCAAGGAATCAGCATCGGCATTAACAACAATTGACTTCCTCTTACTTTTAACTTAAACACGGACGGAGATGGGACTGAAGTCGAAGCGAAAAATGACACCGTAATGCCCGCCAGTGGCGTAGACCAAAAGTAAAGTCACAAAATGTAAAAACAATCAGTTTCAGTGCTTTTCAAATAAAACTACCTAGTCAAATAGTATAAACCGATAATATTGCTTTATTCATTATTTTATTATTTTTTCGTTGTATTTTTTATTTACCAATCAAATTCAAATCCGTCTCCCTTACATTGAAAAATCAATCGGGTTTTGTTAATACTACAGTAAAAAATAGACTTTATATAATTATTTATTTTATATTATTTCATGATTAATAATAATTTCATCAAGTCGTTGGTGATTGCTATGAGACGAGCATTACTAAATTAATAATTTAAATATTGTTCCTATTTAAATCCATAAAAATAATTATTATTTGAGATGGAAGAATTCACATTAACTCCGCCAGAAATTATTGAATCAGTAAAGCAAATATAGTGCTTATAATTATTACCAGAAAAAAAGAAGACGATATATCAGCAAACATATAAAAAATTTATTGATTACCGGGCTGACAATAACATTATGTCTTTTTCAAAAAATGTACTATTGGTATATTTTTCTGAATTAAGCAAAAGTATGAAATCTCCTTTCTTCCTTATGGTCAATATAATGCGATGCTCAGAGCTACTGTGAACGTCTACAACATCTATATCGGAAAGTATCTAAAATTAAAAGCATTCTTGAAATGGCAAAATTTATGCGTGGGGGCATGTCGATTTGATGAATTACTTCAAATAAAAATTGGAGATATTGAAATAGATTGCTGATCACTCTGCCAACTACAGAAACAAAGAAAAAAGATCTACAGGCTACATTGAGGCTCGTAAATCAGTGGAGGTGATAGAAATGTATACGCCCAGTTGAAGAATGCGAGTGCGGGCAAAGGGAAACGGACACAGTTGCATTGGGCTACTGGGCAATAAATCTCAACAGTTGACAAGTGGTTGATAAATTGTCCAGCAGTGCAGTGCAGCAATGCGGAATTTGGTGTGATTCAGGTAATTTTAATGTATTATAGGCACCTTCTATCAATCATTCATATTACAATTGTGAAAGGGAGAAATATGAGGGATATTTTGTTTACTAATATTATTACAACATGGCATTTTGGAGACCTTGTGAAACGGAACAAAACGAAATTTACCACCAATATAATAAAATTGTTTGATGACATAAATAATTAAAATATGTTGTTGGCCAAATGAACATAATAGAAATTTTCTACACTTTATATACAAATTATTATAATTTTTTATTTTTAGCAGACAACTTTTTTAAGGACGCCTATGAAACTCATTAAATTTTATTGCCAGACGTTTGCATGTTCAACTGACTTCGGAAAGACTATACATCAAGTGGTCGAAGCAATTTTTTAAATAATTCAACCACTTTGAAGGATTCAATAACCATCTACTAGTGAAAATACTTCAACCCAAATAGACTTTCAAAGTAATCTGCGCAGCGGACCCCCCGCAACCGGCGCCGCTGGCGTCGGCCGATTTGCAAGTGAAAGAAGAATGGTCGGCAGTGATTTACAAGATCTAATTGCTATTCCAACTGCGCGACGGCCAGGTATCCGTGGCGCCAGCTCGTCGCGCTGAAACAATAAGAACCAAGACGTGACATATAGGATAAATACTGTCTACCTACCTGTGCGGTGCAATGGCTGTTGTTGCTTTGTGCGTTTATGACTGTCGCACTGTCGGGTACCGAGCCATAATTGGAGGCGATTTGGGCGCTGCGTGGAATTCAAGATCTCGAATCTACAGGGTGTTCCCTACCGGAGAACGGAAGCGTTCAAGAAGTAATGACTGATTCTAAATGAGATTGTTTCTCACGAAATGGATTTTGAAGAAAAAGAAGAGCATTATTCTTCAGATGCTACAACTAGTTTTATGGAGAATGTTACCTCGTGATGGAACAATTTCAAATATGTCGAAAAAAAATAGTTTTCCGCACTTCTAGGTTAGGATATCTCGGAAACCTGATTGAAAACGTATTTTTTCGAGTATGCGGCAGATTGGTATCAAATCAGCTAGTAATTTAAATTTTATAATAATTTTCAGTTTTTTCTTTTGAAAAAAAAAAATGTCTCACTAAGCTACGTCATTCTTTTTCACACGCCACTAAGTATAATAGGTGTGTCTTTACTGTCTTTTACACGAATTCTGTCTCGTGTATTTCCTGTATTGCATCCAATTTTTCACATCCAGACAACTTTTCCCTCGCCGCATAAACGCAGTGATTTCAATATCCTTGAGTAATATGATAATTACAGTCGGACTGTTTTGTTCCGTTTATGGTCAAAATTCGATTACCAGCCTTACTCTGAACGCCGGTAAGCTCCTTGAAAGTGTACCTTGATGGCGCCAAGCCTTTGCCTTATTGTTCATTTGTTATTATTTATTTATGAGCCACAGATCCAATATCTTTCTATGTAAATAAGCTTAAGTTTATGGCGTGGTTTACAGCTCGAGGCGCCGACAGTTCAAATTTTGTTAATGGCCCATAATTCAACAAAAAGGAAAATAGCTCGTGCGGATTTCGCTTTTAAGAGAATTTAGCATAATGTATTCCGTTTTCCAGGAGCAGGTATCCTCATTATTTTAAAGTAGGTGCCTAGTAAGAGTAGGAACGCCATTTTTATTGCAAGCAATAAAATACATAAGGAATTAACAAATAATATTGTCTATATAATCTAAAATTAGATTATATGTCCATACCTTTTTTTTAAGTAGTCTTTGGTGTTACCCATAACACAATGGAATAAATTGATCTTGACAAATTTGATTGAATAGCTAAATAAAAATCCTATTAAAGTAAAACATAACAGAGAGGAAATTTTGAAAAATTACAACAGTGTATACCAAAGACAGATCAGTTTCATTTATACCATAATTCCTTCCTATTTGGACTATATTCTTCTTCAGCAAATAGTACATAGCATAAAACATATAAATACAGTACATAGTATATACTGGTGGCGCCACATACTGACTACAATCGTCATTTCAACCAATGAGTACATATTATGACAAGAGATTCGGAATGCTTGTCCTTCTCTACAAGCAGCTTAGGCCACAGGCGTCTAGAGGGCACCTCAATCGATGTCAAATCTAAGAAGGCATTATATTATATCATAACAGCCCAAGGGATAAATCCTTCAGCTTCAGTTCACGGAAAGCATTCTTGGAGACCTAAACACGATAGTCTAATAACATTTTAAATTGATTTGTAATTGTGTACATTTAAAAAATATGATTTGTGTTATATAATCAACGTCTTGTTTAGTCAGAAAATCTGTCAAGCTTGGGGATGACAATACCAGACGGCGACACTCCTTGTTATCCTTATTTGTGAGGTAAATAAGGATTACAGGTACTGTCGCCCTCTGGTGCTGTCATCCCCAAGCTTGTCTAATTATATTATACAAACAAAGCTCAAAGTTTTTTCTCCATTAAAATTCTAGGAGCGATTTTTAAAACTGTCAATGTTATACAGAAATCTGTTCAATTAAACTCTTGAAGTATATTAAAATAAAAACTAATTTGTTGCCCTCTTAGGGTATCAGAGCATGTATATTTTTGTCCCTCAACTCTTTTGAACACATTATTTCTTAAATAATATAAAACACAGGTATTCATGTATTAATTTAATCACAGTGGGCAGATATATCTCGGACTTCGAGCATATACTACTGGAGGCAGCATGCCATTGCGAAAAGTGTGGCTGAGTGTGCGAGAGAGACAGACAGTATCTCAGTACTTGTTGTTTCATTCTTCGCTTCAACGACGGGAGCCAATGAGCGCGAGCATTCATTTCCAACCAATCGCGTGCGTGCTATACTGAGACAGCGTGTACTGAGATACTGTCTGTCTCTCTCGCAGACTCAGCCACACTTTTCGAAATTTCATGCTACCTCCCGTAGTATATATGCTTGAAGATGTCGGATCTTAAAAACTTTGGGATGACAACAGTAGATGGCGACACTTCTTGCCGTCATTAGTTACAGCAGCAGACCACTGAATCGTTATTTGTAGTGCAGTTTGCAGCGGTTACAGCCACTATTGAAATAAGGATGACAAAATCACTAGATATTGCCAAGATCTACTGCAATTTTGGGGCAAAATGCTCCTTTTGTCAATAAGCTTTTTATAAGCTACTCTATTAGATAATAGCTGTTAAATGGCGATTTGTCATATGACATTTTAATATTTTATTAATTTAACAATAACTTGGTGTTCAGATTTTAATTGAATTATATTAAAATAAGAGATACTGGGCAAAAATACAGTTATATTGGTTGTCGTACGCTTATAAATGGATACTCTTGCGGCAAAAATAAAAATAAAGTCCATACGTCAATTATGTCACTCGCTGTTAATTGGCGGCACTGTTTAAAATGCTGTAATATCCACTGTTGACACTATGCTACTGTTTTTTTACAGAACCAACGTAGATCAATATAGGGACTTGAAGGACGATAGTCCCGCCATCTGGTATTGTTCCCCCACCACCGTTTAACCAAAAAAAAAAAGTGGTCATTGATTTTTTAGATTCAAATCTAGATGTCAGCACCTTCGGGAATAACGGCGTGATTGTGCAGTTTACCAATTTTTTAAATCTACCTTATTATCGATATTATTTAGATCCGAGTATGAAAAAATACAATTTTCGCAGTTCTTTAAAGTAGTTAAAAATGTAAAAAATAGAAAGTAATATTTTAATAAATTATTTATTTTCTTACCAATTTACATACAAAATTTATTCTAAATGTTCTTAAGATCATAATATCACATTTCTGATGTGGATATTACAAACCACAGACGTACTCCTAATTAAGTAATGTACAACATTACAGTTTACACCACCTTCACGAGAAAATGATTGCCTAAAAAATAAGTACTAGGCACATTTTAAGTCGCAAAATATTTTGGCTAAACAGATTGTTAGGCTACACTCACAACCTCCTACTAGAAAACTATTTACAGAGTTCAATTAAAATTTTAAATCAACAGAAATAAAAAAAAACTCGTAAAACTCGTAGAGGAACTAAAAATATTGTCTCGATATTCATGCTAAGGCTGCTTAAATTATGTATTTAAAAAAAAAACATCTCGTAATTGCGCAATAAACTGAGTATGAATATTGACAATATTTTTAAACATCCTGTACATTTGGTGTATAAAGTGTTGTAGACAGGTAAAACATATTTTTGTTGTTCTTATTTACACCTTTCTTTAATTATCGTTTCAGATGTTTCAATTTTTGGTTATTTAGATATTAAGAATATAAATATCCACAACACTCGAATTAGCTACATGAAAATAAGGTAAAATTAAATAAATATGATTTGAAGTACCATTAAAAATTTGCTATTAAAAATTATCCTCCAAATGATCAACACTTGGTAAAGTTGCTTAAGTAAAATTACTTAAAAAAAATGAAAAATTAAGTAGATCAATAAGTATTCCAATGAAATATGCCACTGAAATAAGTACTGGGATGTCATGGCGATTGAAATTAATTACCTAGGAATGATCGTTTGAGATTAAGTTAAAGTCTGTCTTTTTAATAAGATTCTGGCAAAGTATCCCACTTCTGATTTTCAATAATCGCGGTCACGTGTTTCTAATCTAAGATGTAAGTTTTAGTGTTAAAAGATTGGCTTATAGCAAAAAAGTATTCCCAATTCATAGTTTCCATAGCTGACTAAAAAATTTCCTTAGCTTCATGCCGTCAAATATGACCACATTTTTAAGCCAACCTCTCAACACTAAGTTTTACACATCATATAACTAATTTAATTTTCAATTCAATTTATTCGAATTGTGCATCAACCCCTTTCAATGGAATAAAATAAAAAATATTTTTGATGTTTTCTATGCACATGCGTTTCCTTTTCATTGTTTTCTTAACTGGCAAAAGTGCTTCAATCCTTGAACACATTACTGTTCAACAGTTAAGGTACTTAGTCTTTGATATATATAAATATAAATATTAAAACTTAACAACGTTAATACTTTATACAGTCACAGCCTATCTAATGTAGATAGAAGTTAAAAGTCTTCGCCCTCCATGTTCGACAAAAGGGTCTTTTTGTCCTCCTGGAAACTCCTTGGCTCATAGCAGGGCTAAAACAACAAACAATCTCATAATCCCAATAAAAATGCGGCGATCGTAAAGCGGCGATTATATACACAGCGAATTGAATATGAAATTGTACCACACTTGATATTACATACATTTTTGGTCCTACGACGACCGGATTTTGTACGCAATAAATCAAATCCATTTTCTTTAGATACAAATATCACACGATTTCATGGCGGGCTATTGGTAGGAACCGATGTGAACAAAGTTGTCGCGTCAACGATTGATACGAATTTGTAAGAAGACAGCGATGTGTAACCACACAAATACAAATTAAGATATCGTAGATTGCTACTAAAGCATAAGTAATTTTACGTTACAGAAGCCAAACTCAACACAACATAAAACTGCAAATTTAAACCTCGAAGACGTCCTTTTCGTTTCCATCCAATTCGTTTTGAGCAATAGTTTCGTGCTTATCAAGTGTGTGATCACTGTTTATTTCATTGGAATATGTAAAGTGAACGTGATACAGAGGAAGCGGAGCTTTAAACAAATCCGTATGATTTTGCACAATCAAATTTTCATATGAATTTTCATCTAATGTAACCGCCGAAGTTAATAAAGAAGTATTTTTTCATCAAAAATATATAAAAAAATCAATAAATACTTACAGTTTCGCATACGTTCATGTTGCAACAGTTCTCGATGGTGATCTCGCACTGTTCCGTGTTAGGCTGTGGCCGATAAGTTAAAGGCGTGACGTTTTTGTTGACGATGATCCTCTTCTTGATCCTGGGGCGCCTCTTGCGGATGATGCGGATGTAAACGGCGAGCGTAATGATAATGAGCAAACAAATAAGTACCAAAGCGGCGAGATAGTACAGAGGATTGCTTAGACTGCTGAAGAAGTTGTCCTGTTCCTTGGAGGCCGACAATCTCGCGGCTGTGCGGTTTCTGTCGGAGAATACGTTGAAGCCCTCGCTACACCTGAAAACAAGATAAATTTTCAATACATTTTATTCCTTATTTTGAAAAAAAATTAAATATATTCGTGTATACAAGATCTCTCACCTGCACAGCAACTCAAACTTCTCGGAGAAGAGATCGTCCCCTCTATCCGTACAGTAGACGTCGCAGATCTCGGTACTATACTCGCATCGGTCCCCCATGAATCCGTTAGGACACCGACATTGCGGCCTATCTCGAGGCGAAACGATGGTGCATTCACCACCATTCAAACAAAAGTCGTCGCATTTGTTGCGTTCGCAACGTCCACCGACGAAACCTGCGTCGCAGCGACACGTGAGCTTTCCCAAGTAGGATATGCGACACGCACCGTTGACGCAGAAATTGTGGCAGATGGATGTTTCGCAGTACGTGCCGTTGAAACCTCTCTTACACAAACACTTATTATCGACGAGCTCTCCGTCGTTTAAGCAACTTTTCGTTTCCGGTTCCTCAGTCTGAGAGACTTCGGCTGTCTCTTCTCTCTCGCCTTCCTTAACCGTTTTGATGCCTGCTTCTATGTATTTACACTCGCTTAAATCGTTGATGCGGAAATTGTTGGTCACCAGCCCCATAGGCCTTCCATCGAATTCGATGATTTTCTCAGGCTCCGACTTTTTCGATATGGAGATGCGATACACGCCGTTGTTGTTAATATCTGTCCAATATATTGTATCCCCATCGACCGCTAGACCAAATGGCTTGATGTGGGTACCTTCGTGTACCAACTCTCTCTCTTTTCCTTCCAGGGTGGTACTCTCGATTCTCCCGTAGATGGAGCCACCTCTACTGTCTGCCCAGTACAGTCTTTGGGACTGGTAGTCTATCGCTATTCCTTCGGGAGTTACAACATCACGATCTACCAGTGTCTCGTGGCCAGTACCATCCAGCCTTGCTCTTTCTATGGAAGGGTATTCGGACTTCTGATTCGTCCAATATATGTACCTGGAACAAGTGTTTTGTTGTATATGTTTGAAAGTTGAAAAAGTGGTCCGATTTGATACACGGTGAATGTAGACAAAATGTTGCGGACAGCAAATTGATTTGATAAGAATTTATTTGAATTAGCTTAATATCTGTTCTCTACAAGCAATTTTGAATACTTTTTAATTATAAAGATCAGTTTTTTTTTGTAATCTTGGAGAGTACTGATTTACACAATATTACAAAAACATTACACATTATCTACGTGTCTAATCTATAATTTGTTGAGTAATTAGAATGATTTCTTTTGTCTTGACAAACTCGTATCTGCTGAGAAAATAACATACCCTTTGAGAATACAATGTTATCAGCTTATTTCAATATGTAAGTTTATTAATATCGATTAGGCACTTACCTTTTGCATATGTCAATTACGATGGCATGGGGGTACTCGTGTTTGAAGGAAAGAAATTCCTTGGACTCGTAGAGGGTCTCATTCATAGCAACGTAGTTAATAGTGCTGTTTATAGCGTCTGTCCAGTATAATACGTCATCTATTGGATCTATGGCTAACCCCTGAAAGATTACATTACACACATTATTTAGAAATAAACTATAGACATGAATTAAATTTTTAATGAACGATATCGTTTACTTACAAGAACATCATCGGGAAGATCTTGTATAATCGGTGTAATATCGGTATCAGTCTCTTCGGTCAGCTGGACAGTGAAAATGGTATCGTTCAGTCTGTCTGTGTTACTGACAATGAATTGGTCACGGATGTTGTCGTATGTTAGTGCCTTTAATTTGTTGAATGGTTGTGTTGACGACTGTATTACAGAACCATTTGGCTGTAGCAGTTCTATGTGGTTGCCAATCGCTACTGCTAGTTCTGAAAATAAGAAAAAAAACGATAATTAATATTGCAAATATTATTTTCGCTAGATTTTCGTTTTATTTTCATAATTTTCAATGCATGCGTAGAAAAGATAAGGCACATCTATCTGATCGAAGTGAAGTTTTAATAAAAACATTTCACTTATTAGATAATGTAAATAGAAGTGCACTATTCAAGTAGGTCTTATCTAAATTGTACAAAAAATAATTTCAATATTTCAATAACAATAATTTCAATGTCGTGAAAGAAATCCTAAATCGTTGGGCACATAAAATAAAAAGTTGTCTGTGCTTTTCATGCGATATATATGTGATCCGTAGTATTTTTACGCCCTGATCTCGAATGCGGTGTCAGAATTGAGCCTTCACGGATTCGTGATCAGTGACCCCGAAAACCCTCGTATACCAAATTTGGCGCGATTCTGTTATTTTTTGAAAATTTGGTAGGCCATCTTGGATCCGCCATCTTGAATTTTGCAAAATTGACTTCCGATCCGTGATCAGCGACCCCGAAAACCCCCGTATACCAAATTTGGCGTAAATCTTATTTTTTGAAAATTCGTGATATCTGATCTTAATTGACCCGTTTTTTTAGGTTAGAAAAATAACCATCAATTCTGACCGCAGATTCACGTTCGGCGGGGTCTTAATCATATAAATGAACATTTGAATATAGGAAACAAAATTTTTTGTACTTTTCCTAGCACTTTTCGTGAATTTTTTGCTATATTTGACCTGTTTTTAAGGTTAGGAAATTCCTGTGATGTGATAGCTCAATTCTGACACCGAATTCGTGATCAGGAGGCAAAAATACTACAGATAATCTACGTCGTATGAAAAGTAGACAACTTTTTTTTGTGTGGCTAATTTTTTTATTTATGATACATTATTCGAAGGATACATTTATTGAAATAAATCTCTCCTCATATCAACTAATATGCTAAAAATAAACAAATTATCATTATTGTTTTATCAGCAAATACATGAAAGTTTTTGCTTTAGCTTTCCATACGTAAACAAATTTTATTAAGAACACAACATTGGCAGAGTCACCTTCAGAAAATTTAGTGTTTGTTACATGCCATTAGTGTAAGTTTGGTTGCGTAACAATCGCCATCACATCTATTTGGGAATTGTTAAGGTTTATCCAAGAAATAGACCTCCCGAAGAGCGTCACAAAATTTGAATTTTATGCAACCGATTGTACAGTACTTATAACAATTTCCCATAAATATGTCTTTAACGTATCTAAGTAGTTCAAACAACAATATTAAAATAAAAAAAATATTTAAAATTAAAATTTTATTCATGTAAGCTGAATATCATCTATTAAATTAATTAAATATGCTATGGACGCAATATGTGTATAAAAATGCGTGATTATTTAAATAGGTATTTAATAATGTGACAACAAAAAACTTGAGCAGTGTCTATTAGTAAATTGCGCATCTTGTAGATGAACCAGCAAAAACTAAAACATCTCAAAATGATTAGACGAACGTAGATTATTCGATGGTTGGATTTTTGATCCTTTGTAAAGCGTCATTGTGATGATCCGTTATTTTCACATTTATGATTACTGGCTACAGTTTTGTATGAGTAATGATGATATATAGACATTTTAAAATATCAGTGTATGTTTATCTTGTAGATATGTACGTCTAAATAAATTTTGAACTACTAAATTCGGCAATATTGGAGCACGTCTGAAAATTGCATAATACAGCCTTCCGAGTATTTTTAGAAAACACCCAACAATACCAATACATGCCCTGCTATGTCACATGCTGTAAAGTAGTTTCATTTCAGTTTGAAAATTGTCAAGATCGCCCAACAATCTATTTAGAGATGAAGCATGCGCGATTTGGGTGAGAACCACGTGGGAAATGCAATTACTTACTAACGGAGAGTTGCTAGCATTGCTAGCAATAGCAATGCCAGATTCAGATTAAATAAAATATATAGAATTTATTATTCCGAACTGGTTAACAGTAGGTACTGCTCCAATTATTCAAGGATTTATTTTGTCGTATTTACATATTAACCAATCATAAAACTGGAGCTGATATAAAATTTAAAATAAAATATTGCTCTAAAAATTCGAGCAGGTTGTAATTTTACAATTTATTTTGTTGTAGTGGGAAACCGCAGAACAATTTGCGTTTCACACAAATCATTTAAATCTGACATTTTACAAATTATCTTAAATACATTGCTATGTAAAAAATAAATGTTATAATTAAACATCTATTTCGTCTTGTCACCTAACAGGTTGCCAATACTGATGTATGTTTCTATTTTCTCCTCACTTTTTATATTTTTTCTTGAATTGTTAATGACACGAGGTGTTTTTTAATAGGTAATTTTTAGACATTTTAACTAAGAAAAATAGAAACATCATATAATCAAAATGGTGTTTGTTTTATTGAATTACATGATTATTTTTCAATTATAATATAAAAATTTCCTCTTTGGAGGAAAAAGTAATTTACTATGAGCAGTTATTCTTCGAAATTGGAAAACAATTGAAAAAGAGATCATTAATATTTTATTTGTCTCATATTTTCCGTTTGATTTCGTACACGGTTTTATCCGGCCAACGTAATTTAAGCTACTGACGACCACGACTGAGAAGTGGATTGAAAACAAGAAAATCCATTAATTTTCACATTCATATTATCTACTAATTTTCTGTTGAAATATTTCCTATCAAATGCTTGCTTACTGTATTTCTATAGAAATCTATAGATACCTATTGCAGTTAAATACCTATCTATCAAATTATTGCACGTAAGTTTGGTATTCCGTATGATATTCGAGAACATATCGCACGAAATATGAACAATTTAATTGTTTAAACAAAATATTTATTATTGTTTGTTTAATTACTAATCTACGTTTGAAGATGATTAACGCAAATCGGTTAAATTGTTAAAAACTGTTTTGAAAATTGTGGATTGTTATTAATTTAGTCAATGAAATCCAAAATTACTATTTGCATTAATATGCATGGATGTATTGATTTATATAAGAATGGGAAAACCATTTTTAAAAATCAACAGTCTTTATTAAAATCTATTAAAAAATTAAAAGAATGAAATGTGTTAATAAGTCATTTCTATACAGGACAGTCTAGGGTGATATCGACTTTAACAACCTTATTATGGAATTTTCAGATTTATCATTATCTTAAAATTTTAATTTTGTTACAAAGATTGATTGTATAATTACAAGTGCTACTCCAAGACCGTGTGCACAAGCTGCACTCATTTTATTTTATGTAATTATGAGCCATTTTCTTTTGCACACGAACTTTCATTGAAATTTTACGATTTAAAATACTTTAACATATGAAAAAAATATCGGAAATAGATACCTAAACAGTACTACTTCGTTATTTAGTGCAATATGATTGTTTTATTATTTCAAATTATAAAAAGTAAAAGTAAACTATTAAAAATTACTTATTATAAGCAATAGAAAAAAAAATCGACACAGGAATTGGGCAAGTTGAAATTTTTTGTGAAGCGTAGTCAAAGGTTTATCAAATTAATCTACTAGGTACTTTAATTAATTTATTTACTTAAATATTTTCTTTAGTATTTCAAATCACGGAAAAATCATAACTGAAAATTCACACAATTATAGGCCCACCTACAAGCAGTCAAACTTGTGAAACTTTGTTAAAAAAAAACAATTGTCGTTAATATATTTAGAGAACATAAATGACCCATTTTTATGCATGTTTATAAACAAAGTTTAACATATCTGGACAAATTTTTTTGGTGCCACTTTTTGAAAATGATCGTCACCGCATTTACTTTAAGTTAAGTAATTAAAGTAATTAATGATTTTCTAATTTTGCTCTACAGTTTTTTTGTTAATCAAAGTAGTCTTTACTGGCAAACCTGAAGGGAGTGTAAGTATAACCTTTTAAGTTAGTAGCAACAAAAAAAAAATCATCCTAAAAAACTGGCATGACGATCACAAATGAAGTTTTAAATTCTCATCGCCACTGTCTGAAGTACCAATGATAGACTATGGCGCAATTTTTCTCCTTATCAAAGTGTCTTATCTTCATGATTTTTACAATTTGCACGGTCAAAAGTCAATTCAAAATTACAGGGAATTACTTTATTGACTAGAAAAACAGAAAAATCTTAAAAGTTAATTAAAATTTATTATTCCTTGAACATAAACATTAGATTATTGCTATCTTAATAAAGTTTCGTTTTCGTTACAAACAAATAAATATTTACATTTACGCGCGTAAATCTACAGCGATTCGATACTTAATATCTAATAAACCACTAATTTACTTATTTTGCGGGCACGTACGAAGAAACAATTGAAAAACTCAATTGTTTTCTTGTTCAGCGATTTGCTACCTCGCTTTACGACAACAAAAATAGCAATCTAGAAGTCTGCGAGCAAGCAGAAAGCGATTATGAGAGCCGCCGTCATGTAATCTAGGTGCACGAACTGCAAAAAGCCACTTTTTGCAAACGGCTCAAATGTCTGGGCCTACGTGACCGACTGCATGTTCAAATTCCCGACCACGTGGTATCGATTGAAGAGCACGGTGGGCATGCGTTTCGGGTATCTAAATTACGACCATTTGAACCGAGTGAGATTGTAAGCCTTATCCACTTATTTCTTTTATAAGTGGTAATTAATTGGACAACCGTCATAATGACTGGATTCGAATTGTGTTGGCTAAAGTCGATCATGGGCCTATTTTCTTTGCAATAATAAGTGTCATCACCGTGAACTTTGCAAGTCAAGCTTACGACACTATTGTGTTTGTTTTACACTTTGAATATAAAATTAATACATAAAAATGGGCATAATTTGTATAGGGAGGCCAAAACGTAGACTTTCTAAGTATAATCCCTTCACTTCTAATAAAGATTGCCCATTTGTGTCACTTTTATTTTGGAATATTTGGAATATAATGTATTTTAGTTTCAGTACTATAATGTTTTCCCAAAAAAC